TTGTGGTTTAAAAAGCTCTGAATAATAGAGAAGAAAGAAAAGAGGGAGTGAAGACTTAGCATATTAAAGAGTGCCATCTCAGTTAAACTCAACTTGTTTTTCTTTTAAAAAACTCGTTTCTTGAAATTGCATGGAAATTGATACAATAAAGCAAGAATTTTGAAAAATTGAAACATTGTAACAAAGAAAGAATTAGGAAGATTCCGCCTTTGGATTAGTTGCTGATTCTGACATGAATTTGGCACTGGATTAGTGGAGACTTAAAAACTTGAGAGGAAGAAAAGTTGGCTGCTGGAAATAAACTTTAAAGATACTATTTGGATTAAATTGCGAATCAGAAAGTTGTAAAATGGTGATTTCTCTTCTGGCATTAAAAGTGGAACTCAGAAAAACGAAAGAAACACTACAAAAATGAGGTGAATCGCTGGGTTTTGCTTTAAAATTTATTGAAAATGCGACAGCAGAATATGAACAACAAAGACAAAAGGCAGAAGAGGAGGTGGAGCAAATCATGGAAGAGACTATCTTTAGTGATCATCAAGAACCAAGAACTCTTGAAAGAAAGAAGAAAAGAGTTGGAAATAAATACAGGAGATTTAAGAAATTAAATAAAAAGGGGAATATCCGAAAAATTAAAAAAGGGAAAAAGAGTCAGCAGAAATTCAAAGGGCAAAAGGAAGCTATAAATAGAGAGAGGGATAAAAACTGGAGTGAAAGAACAAAGGAGAAAAGACAGGGAAAGAAGGGACAAGAAACAGGATTTGAAAACAAAGAAATATGGGAATTGTAAAAAAATGGGGAAATCCTTAATTGGACACAGAGATAATGGGTGATTATTATATAGAAAGGGGATTCTGCAAGGTATTGAGGGGTAATATAAATAAATATATAGTTATGAAATAGGGACATATAGACTGACAAGATGGAAAAACAAAATTGTTATTTTTTGGATAATGGAATCTAATGCTCTTCCTCTTTATGTAGAGAGATAATTGTAACAAATAATGGAATAAGTATATTAGATATATTGAAATATTTTTATGATTGGAATGTTGGTTTTTTTTGGGTTTAAATGGAATAATTAATGGAATATGTGTATTAAATATATGGAAATAAATGAAATGATATAGGAGGAGAGCTGAAATAGAATTAACTTTAGGGCTTAGGATTGTTTTACTGTTTGAATGAGTAGATTAATATGTCCTTGGGGGGGTGGAATTTAATGAAATTTAAAAGGAAAAAAATCATGCAGAATCTGATTTATATATGCTATATAGTTTTAAAGGGATTATTATGTTTAATGTTTTAGGTAATAATGTTAAATGTTTTAATGAGATTTAAAAGGGGTGAAAATAAATGAATTTATAACTTAGAGTTGGCACACTTATGTTGAGATTTCAGGGGGGAAACCAATTTATAGAAAAAGTGACTTTTTTAAAAATTAGAATTTAAGATGAAATATACAAATGATAAAATATAATGATTATGAAGTCATCATAAGTGAATTAAATAATGAGATAAATATTTGGAATAATACAATAAAATAGAAAATGTATAAAAGCACTGTTAAGGAATTTGATATAAAAATTGAATATGTAACCATGGTCATATTTGTATGTATATGTGAAACCTGTAATCATGCTGTTCACTAAAAAGAGACGTTAAAATATGGAAAACTGAATAAAACTTGTTTTTTTTTAAAAAGAAATTTATGGGAGACGCTTATGTAGGACATGAACACAAAAATATCTTCCCATCTAAGTTCCCAGCAAATGGTGTGCTGAAATTAATCTTTAATACAGATACATTTGCCCAGAAATCTGTCTAATTCACAGGTGATAGACTCGATTGCATCACATGACATATCATGACATATTGCAACAGTTTTTGCCTTTCCTGAACTAGGGTGGGCATGGGCTGTATATGATGCATCCAGCCTGCAGGTCGCCAGTTTGACAGGCCTGGCTCTAATTCCTTTTTAAAATTATCCAATAACTTGCATTTGTGTATTCCATCATATAATCATGCACCATGAAATACTTATTTTGCCTGACTTGAAACTCTCACTTTTAAAATTCACAAGTATAAAAAAAGCCAAGTTTTTAATTCCTTGTTCAATGGACTTCAACATGAAAATAATTGAACTATCCACTCCAATTTTACAGGGTAGTTCTCAATTCCACCAGCCCCCAACTCCACTAGTGTGTGGATATAGTTGGGCTGTTTTACCCAAATATCTTTTACTATACAGTAAACATGATGGCAAACTTATTTAGGATATCTAATTATTGATCTCTTTCTTGTGATTAGATCATACTTTGTCTACTTTAAAATGCAGAAGATTCAGTACCCTCTTGTTTTCTGTCTCATTGGGTTTCTTCCATGGATTTTGTCCCATTTTATTTTAATATGGCTATTTCATAAAAAATGCTAGATCATAATATTATTTGTTAGACACTGGTTTGCTCAGCAGGATCTGTGGCCACAACTACCACACAATTAAATTAAAGTTATGGCTCAGCATATTGCTCAAACACAACCATGATTTATTGAATAAGCTATGATTTATTAAAGTATAATTTAGATCGTAGCATGAATCAGATCATTAAACTTTCTGGCATATTGTATCTTTAGAGTCTTTTCTTCAGATGCTCAATTTCCCATAAATAATAATTCTCTCTTTCTGTCTGGTGCTCTTCATCTTTTATTTTTAGTTGGTAAGAACATTAATCTGAATAATAATCTTATACATTGTAATGAGTATATAGTATATTACATCAGTGCATTACCTCAGGATACTGTACCTAGGCTACATAAATCAAGTAGAACAGAGACACTTGCAGAATCTCATGGTTTCATCAAAATGATGACTAAAGCATTGTACTATATTCAGCTTCCCTCTATTTTAAAGGGACATTACTAAATTTTTACCAAAGAGGCAAAAGTTGCATAAAGCAATTCTGCTTTTGCCATTTACAATATTCTCCTATTACCCATAGTTGAGAATAAATATACACGCAGACACAAAAAATATGGCTTTGACAAAAAGAGTATTTTCATATTGTATAAATATTAGCATCATTGAATCTAAACTTGGATAAATTATTACTCATTTTGACAAACAGATTTGGAAATATATTTCTGTTCTGTATTCCCACCTGAGTATTAGATACAAATTGGAGGTTATTCCACAAGCAACGTTGGTACAGGTTAGACAACCACATAACACTGGAGGGCCTTTTTATCAGCTTTGGCTGATAAACTATATACACCTTTATTTGAACAAGATTAACACCTTCAATAATTCATTCTCAACCTTTGAAAGTAGTGGTTACTATAATTAGTTATGTCACTTGAAGACCTTAAATGCTTTCATCCAATTTTTCCATACATTTAAATAATCAGCCAGATATTGTTGCAAGGCCACTCACATTTGAAATAAATGACTAATTCTATTTTTTTCTATCAAGAAACTCACATTAAGGAATCAATTTGCACTAGGATTAAAACAGTATTTCCTTTTTTAATCACAGTTTAGGGAGAGTTCAAATCATGTTTGTTTAGACCTTTAAAAATTAATATTTTAATATTAAGCATTGTTTTAATTTTTAATATTTTTATTCTTTAATTTTAATCATGTAATTATTGTTTTCACTATAGCTTTTTTAAGAGGTGTTAGGGGGATGAACAGCCTAATATAATTTTAAATAAATAAATATTCCAGTTACTGAAGTGCAAATAAAACATCAGCAAATATAATAAAATTATGGTCCAGGATTAATCAGTGCTATTTGTACCTTCAAATCTGCAAAAATACATAAGTACAAGCCCTCACGGGATCATTCTGTTCACATATTTAATTTTTTAATTAGCATTACATTTTATGTCCTTAAATACAGATTGATTTTAACTAATTCAAAAAACAAAAGTACAAAAACACAAGCAGCTAAAAAAAGTTTTTATTAAAAACAGCTAGAATACCTAATGGAATAAAATAACTTCTTTAACTCAAGTTCAGGCAACATTCCCTATGCAGACTATATTCAGTATGGTGTGCACTCCAAATTCCTTTGAACTGAATATGATAAAATTAACCAAAATAGTCTTGGTTCTGTCACCTGTTGAAAAAATATTTACAAGCTTTCCAATGCCTCAACTTTTTAAGATTTCTTCAAAGATACCCAGAAGTTACAGAAAAGAATAGAAGAACTACTTATTTTCCTCTGCATTTGAGAATACTGATATCTTAAATGCTGTTTGCTGCTAGTCACCACCCTGGTAATATAACTAAGAAATTGCCTCTGCTCAACTGTAAGAGTGACTCATCTCAGTATAAGATGTGCTACGTGCTTATCCAGGTAAGAAACTAAGAGAAGAGGGAAATTGGTCTCTTTAATATACCATTGCTTACACCATGCATCTCAGCATCTGAACAGGTGTAAGTAATCACACCCTTAGAATAAACTGCTCAGCTAAACACAAGTATTTTTGAAGATTTTGGTTCTGGAATTATCTTGAATAGTAGTGAATGGAAACTGATGCATATTTTTATTTGACCATGTCAATTGGATATCAAGAATGTCTTCTCATTATTTTTTACTTGTGGATTACATACTAATGTAGTATTCTGAGTTTAAAAAACTCTTGATTATCAGTGGAGAGAAGGGCCATAAGATTTAAAAATGCTAGATTTTTCCACATTTATCTTCTCTCAACTTAGCATCCAGGGAAAAGATGCACCATCCCTCCCTATAAAGTGTTTCCCCCTTTTTGCCTGCAAATAGAATAAAGGCAGCTGTATCCAGGAAACTTGGGTGTTCCTACTACAGAAAGAGAAAGGGCAAAAGAGCAACTTAGTGGGACACAAGAAATGACAACCAGGTTCCTCTCTCAAACCTTCTATAAATAAACGGTATTTAAGCTTATGGGGGACCGGAAGAGTAAGGTAGGAGGTTGGTAAACCCTTGCCAACCAAAGGGCAACAATTATTGTAAACTCACCCGAGGAAACAGAGGAGCCAGACAAACTAGAGTTGCTGGATGTGGCCATCCTCTTCCCTTCGGCCTCCTTAATGGCTAGTCCAGGCGGTTCTGCTGCTGTTCGGCTGCCCCCGCCGCTCCCGACCCATTTCAAAGTGCGGGAGCCGCGTCGAGCAAAGCAACAACAGCAGGCGATGCCTGGCCTTTGCTCGTTCCTTGTCCGAATAATGTGTTGTTGTAACTGGTTTATTTGGGTTCCTTTGAGGCTTGGCAAGGAGGAGGAGGAGCTGGCCAAGGCAGGGTGCCTGGATGTGTCCAGCTCCTTTCCCTCTGCCCGAGGAATAAAAAGCTTCCCGGTGACTAGAGCCGCCCCAGCAGTTATTTTTCCCTCGCCTTTTCCCCTCCCTTCGCCTAAACGGCTAAGCCTTGACAAGCGAAGCAGCGAGCGACTCCACCTCCTCCGCTGCCACCGCCTAAGCTTCCCTCACGCACACAAAGGAAGCGGAGAAAAAGACAGGCAGCAGCCCCTGGGACAGCGGAGGGGATAGCCCAGGGTCCAGGCACCGACAGAGTCCCGCGCGAGAAGCGAAAAAGGCGCCGAGAGCGTCCAACCGGAGCCTGCCCCTGTGGCTACCGCTCTCTTCGCTGGCTGGCATCAGGAGAGCTGCCGCTCCTTCCATGTGCCAAGGCTGGTCCAACATTGGGAAGTGGAGGCAGGTCGCACCGCCTTCTAGGGGAGGGGAGAAGCGGGGAGGCAACAGCGAGAAGGCGGGACCCCAGAGACTGCCTTGGGGTGCGTTCGGTGCCTGTTGCGTTTTCCGGTTTCCCAGTGCCAAGTATGCCATTCTGATTTCTCGTACCCATCTGTTAAAACAGGAGAACCTTTTAAGAAAAGGGTCGCCTCCCTTAATCTCAATTGTTGTAAAGCTCGGTGACTAGGTCACCTGTTCGAGGTTTCTGTCAAGGTGGCGGAAAGCAGATAAGAACCGCTCCTACAACTATTGGAGCGATAGTTCACCATTTTGGTACTTCTTCATCGTCCTTATACGAGGGTATTTTTTTTTTGTAAATTTTATTTGAGTTTTCACAAAAAAATACAAATAAAACATCTTTTTTGAAAGTAGCGTAATCCCGGGTTACATTTCTTCCTACAGACACAAATTCAATTTCTTGCTCATTTTTATGTTCTATTCCATATCTTATTACTGTTTTACATTTTCTGCATAGCTTCTCCCCTCTTTTAATTTTCTCAATTTTATTTTAATTATCTCGTCTCAATTCAAATCATATTTATATTTTTTGTCTGTCCTGTTTCAATTATCTATTATCTTTTCTCATTAAACAAAGTTTCTCCTGTAGTTAGTGATTGGAGTATGACGCCTTTATATCTTTTAAGTTTATCCATTTAACTCTTATTTAGGCTTCAATATATACCCTAAAATTATAACATTCAATATAATACATAACTTCCGTTCGGATTCTGCTTGGTACATTCTTAAAATACACACTATATTCTTAAAAAAAGAAAAAATTATAAATATATGTAATTAAAACAACACATTCCATTCCAATTCAATTCTATCATTAATATTAATATTCATTAAAATCTTAACTTTTTTAACATTACTTTTCAATTAAATATCATACTTCTATGGGAACAATTATAAGCTTTCCATAATTAATTCCCCCCCTTCACTTATATTTTATAAAACATTAACTAATTAAAATGTTCCTGTCCCTTCCTAATTCAATTTTCTCATTTATTTTATTTCACTTATTTTATTAACAAACATTTCACTAAATTACACTATTTTATCCCTCATTTTAATCATACATTGTTTCCAATTTTCTAAAGTTATTTCTATTACTAATATAACAATACAATCTTATGTACCTTTACAGAATCTCTTTTTCAGTTAAATTTTCACCCATTATCTCTAAATAGGTCCTGTTTCTCTATATCTTGCTCCGGTCCTTTGTAACTTCTTTTCCTTTCCTTCTTCCCTCTCTTCTTCTCTCTCCCCTTTTTACCCCCTTGTCTCTCTACCTCTATTTCTCTCTTCTGTATTCCCCACTTCTGTTGCTTTCCAGTATTATACTTATTTTTCAAATTATTTTTCTTTTCTGTGGTTGTTTTTTTAAGTCTTAAATTCTCCATTCTCTTTCCCCCCCTTTCCTTTTTCTTCCCCACATAGAATTACTTGTTCATTAAAGATGGCTTCTTCTTTGTCCCAGTCTTCTTGTTTTGCAGACGTTTCTTGTTGTTTCTCATAGTTCCAAATCTCCATTTCTAAGAATTGAAAAACGAAGCCAAAAGAACCCCTCCCTTCTTGTGCATCTTCTTTATACTTTTAAACTTCCATTTTCAATTCATCCAGAAGTAGTGCCATTGTATACATTTTTAAACAACTACCCGATTAATTTTAGTCATTCAAATGCAATAACCAAGAATCCAAAGATCACCAAGTAATCCAAATACACGCAAGTTGTTTCTTTTTGCTCTTTTTTTCACGGTCATCATGTCCTTTGCCTCATGTCCTTTGCTGAGTTATTTTTCTCATCTCCGGAGACAGTTCTGTTCTGCAGATTTTCATTCAGTGGCTGACAAGCAACCTTAAAGGAACTTTATTTCTGGAATTCATGTCGAACTATTCGATATTATATGTATCTTCTATATTGATGTCTTTTGTTTTCAGATATGCTTTTCATGTTGAACTATTCATGTTGAACTATTCGATATTATATGTATCTTCCATATTGATGTCTTTTGTATTCAGATATGCTTTCCCAATTGGTTTTAAAAAACACATTCTCTTCATAAAATGCTTGTCTAAACCACAGTTTGTTCAACTATTTATATACAGGCCTTACAACCACAATAAAGCCCCAAAATTTTGTTACTAAGTGAGGCTTTTGTTATGAGAATTTTGTTCCATTTTATGATCTTTCCAGCTACAGTTATTAAGTAAATCATTGCAGTTTAAAAATTAGTGATACAGTTGTTAAGTGAATCTGGCTTGTATTCTTGTATGGACTGCACCAGAGGCTAAACTAATTTCATTGTATACCTGATGTATAATGACAATAAAGGCTTTGAACTTTGAACTTCTCCATTGACTTTGCTTGTCAGAACCATCAAAGGTGATCACATGTTCCTGGGACACTCCAACTGTCATAAATATCTGCTGGTTGGCAAGCATCTGAATTTTGATCATGTGGCCATACAGTGGTCATAAGTGTGAAAAACGGTCATAAGCCTCTTTTTTCAGTGCTGTTGTAACTTTGAACGGTCACTAAACAAACTGCTGTAAGTCAAGGACTACCTGTACATCGTGCACTGCACTATAATCATAACCAAACCATCTCAGTATGAGCAATATGCTAAGTTGAAATGTAATTGGCCTATTTCTGTTCTGTATATTCATGATCACAGCCATTGTCAACATTGCCGTAAGTTATCATACGGCTTGTTTGGTTTTGAATATTTTGCCATGTAAACAGATAGGATTCTATACAACCTAGATTTTATTTTAGCTGCATGGCCTCAAGATAAGTCAGCTAAAATTGTAACTTCTCCATGGATGGTGTTAGAAAGAATTCAGGAGCCTCATTCTCATGTTACCCAACCATAAATTACCAATTCTGCCTGTTTCCACAAAAGGCCTAATTTATTTATTGAATTTATATTGCTGTCTATTTGCCGCCATTTGCTATGGCGACTCAAGGCAGCTTACAGAATATAAAACCACATTTAAATTAACAAAAACTAACAAAAAGAATAAAATAAATTAATATAGTACAACAAAATCACCCCCCCGTCTTCTACCCCTTCCCCACCCCAGTGACAGCAGATTACACAAACCATTGAATGGGCTCCATCCAGCTCTGGGTTCCCCAGGCCCACTGGCAGAACCAAGTCTTCTGCGCCTTCTGGAAGAGTAGTAGAGTGGGGGTCGTTCTAATCTCTGGGGGAATGATGTTCCAGACAGCGGCCCTTCTTCTGGTTCCCACCAGGGGTATCTCCCTCGGGGATGGGACCCACAACATTCCTTGCCTCCCTGCTCTGAAGAGTCAGGTAGATGTGACCAGCAAGAGACGTTCCCTCAGATAACCTGGTCCCAAGCCATGAAGGGTTTAAAAGGTAACAACCAGCACCTTGAATTGTACCTGGAAATAAATCGGCAACCAATGCAGCTCCTGGAGGAGAGATGATACATTGCACACCAGGGTCTGCCCAAAACCATGCAGGCCGCTGCATTTTACACCAACTGGAGCTTCCAGATGCTCTTCAAGGGCAGCCCCATGTACAGCACATTGCAATAGTCAAGACAGGAAGTGATTAGGACATGAATGACTGAGAGTAGGGATTGTTGGAATAGGAAAAGGGCATAACTGGCACACAACCTGCAGTTGTCCAAAGGCCCCCTGGCCATGACCGCCACCTGTTTTTCAAGCAGGAGTCCAGGAAAATCCCTAGTTTACGCATAGGGTTTGTTTGGGGTAGTGCCGCCCCATCTAAGAGCAAAGGTGGCAATTCTCCCTGAGCCAACAAACTCCAAACTCAGAGCCACTTGGTCTTTCAAGGGTTTAGTTTCAACCTGTTGTTCCTCATCCAGCCCCTAACAGCCTTCAGGCACTGCGAGATGGAGGACACGGTATCACTTAACTCACCATGAGCTGAGTATCATCAGCATATTAGTGATACCTCAGTCCATGGTGATGGATGATCTCATTCAGAGGCTTCATATAAATGTTGAACAGGAGTGGAGAGAGTACCGAGCCCTGCGGAACCCCGTAAAGCAATGGATCTCTCCCTTCCTATCAACACTGACTGAGAGTGGCCACAGAGCAAGGAAGTGAACCAGGACAGCACAAGGTCTCCACTCCCATCCCCCAAGGCCGTTCCAGGAGAATACTATGGTCAATGATATTGAAAGCCGCTGAGAGGTCAATTAGAGCAAGGATAGAGGCAATATCCCCATCCCACTCCCACCAGAGATCATCCAAAAGTGTGACCAATACTGTTTCTGTCCCAAATCCAGTCCTGAATCCTGACCGATAGGGGTCGAGATAATTTGTTTCATCCAGAAACCTCTGGTGCTTCCGCATGACCACCTTCTCCAAGAAGGGAAGATTGGAGACAGGTCGGAAATTATCCAACAGGTGGAGTCAAGCAGTGGCTTCTTAAGAAGAGGATGGATCACAGCCTCCTTAAATGCTGGGGTATTACTCCGTCCTGTAGGGAAGCATTAATCACCACCAAGTCCACCCACCTGTCACCTCCTAGGAAGCTTTCACAAGCCAGGAAGGACATGGGTCTAAAACACAGGTGCTTGCGTGCATACTCTCTAGGATCCTGTCCACTTCCTTGGGAAAAACAGGGTCAAATTGTTCCCAGATAACAGGGCAAGAACCTGCCTCAGAGGCTTCCACCGGACCAGCAACCATGGTGGCATCTAACTAGGAATGAAGTTGAGCAATTTTGTCTTCCAGAAAATCAGCAAATTCCTCAGCGTGCCCCTTCAGGAGGACCTCAATCTCTTCCTTTCCCAGGAGGAGGAGGCTCACTTTAAAGAGGGTCTCTGAGTGATTATCTGCAGATGCAATTAGTGTGGAGAAGTATTTATACTTCACCACATGAATTGCCACGAGGTAGACCTTAATAGCAACTCTTACCCATGTTAGACTGAGTTCATGCTCTATATGAGGAGATGTCTAAGCGGTGCTTTAGACGTCTCCTCATACATTTCATCCCTCTCAGTTGCTCTGTATACCACGGGGTACAGAGAGGTCTAGGTAATGCATCAATCAACTGATGACCTGAGATTATATTGGAAATGGATAGAGACAAGACTGGGCAAGCTGTATGAGTAGATAGTTTTTGTGG